AAAGAGAATATTTTGTTGGAATCCATTCTGAACGATTAACAAATCGTATCTGAAGTTGATTTAAGTTTTGGCCTGTTGGAAAATGAAAAGATGTAATTTTTTTTTTGTTTGTTGCTAAAGTATCCCGATGTACATTTTGGTGCAGCACATTTGTTGACCATTTTTAATATAAACTCTTTAAAAAATTCAGTAAATTCAGAAAGAAGAATATTTTTAAAAATAATATTTTAGCGTATTTTGATTCTAAAACTTTTAAAACCGGCCTTTTAATTTCCCGCTCAAAAATGTAAGATATATGGCCGTGAATATAGTAGGCCATGATACACACGTATATGTATAAATGTGTGTACAAATAATACACATTATGTGTGTGTATTATCGTAAAGACACACACATACATACACACATATATTATATATTTCTGTATATATATATATATATATATATATATATATATATATATATATATATATATATATATATATATATATATATATATATATATATATATATATTAGGCCATCCCATAATTTTTTTTTGACAACCAAATTACATGCGGAGTCGCTAATGAGTGGCGTAGAGGTCATATTTATAAGTCAAATTTTTTTATTTTTTATTTTTTCCTGTTAGAAGTATTCGCGCCGGTCGTTCGAAGTTACGCACTAGGCAATTTATGACCAAAATTGAGCAGTTTTCAACACAACGGCGCGAATCGATTCTGATGTCGAATCCAGTTAATTTTTTCATTTATATTCTCTTCATGTGTTCCCATACCAAAATAAACACTGTGCTTTTCGAGTTAAGAAATACATAATGCCTACCGTTCACTGATTTTGATAGAAAAATCAACATTTGTGTTATTTCAAAGTGCCTTTTTGTTGATCTATGAGGTCATTTTCAGTCATGGTGCAATATTTTTTTTTTCACTTCTTATTGGTATCAAATGATGTTTTTAAAAAAATTACTTTTGTTGGAACCTAAGATTAAACAAATCCAAACTTAAAATGGTTACCGCCAAAAGATTTGTTATAGGACTTTAAATATTTTACTGTAGTTTTAACTAGATCAAAATGTGTTGATATATTTCAGAAAAGATCTACTTAGATTTTGTCTGTGTTATTTTAAATTCTCATTAAATTTTAAGTGCTCATCGCAGAGCACCGCTGGAAAATATTTTACTAGTAAACGTCGTTTATATGACTAAACCGGCATCAATCCTCGGACCTCCGATATTAAAGTAAGAACTCTAAGTACTGCCGTAGCTGCTATTATATTTATTATATATATAATAAATTCTTTCCTTTAAGACACATATCTCTAAAAATCACATAATTTAGTTTTTTTTTTAAATACATTTTCAAGGTTTAGAGTCTACAGTAAAGTAATTATAATTGTTAGAGATATTGGAAAGGTTTTGAATTATTAACTCACAGCCAGTAGCGAGGGAGCAGGCGTTGTAACTGACTCCTTGTATCCATTCTTCGTCTTTTTAAATGGCTTTTTCCATTAGTTTTTCATTTGGAGAAGGTTCTGAAGTTTGTCCTCGCTCTTCGCACGCTCTACATTATCTTGAATGAGTTTTACTGCACGTTCTGATGAGTCGTTAACAACTTCGACAGATTTTACGAACCTTTGAAACTCATTGTATCCTGGAAATTCTTTCCAAAAAATCTGCGGGAGTTTCATCCATAGACATTTTTCAGAAGTATGACCTAGGGTATCAAAAATTACCCAGGAATCTGGCGAAATATATGATTCAAGAACTGGTGGTTGATCTATATTAAACAACAAACTGCTATCCGAAAGGATTTTAGATTTGGTTCTAACCGTTCCTACATTTTTAATGCCACTTCGTTGGGTTGAATAAAGAACTTTTGCCATCTTTTCCATTTCGATGTAGTGATCTTTATTAGAACATGCTAGCACCAGCACCACGGTTGATGGAGCCAAATACCACATATGGTTTCGCCATGATTTAAATACCACTTCTGCGGCAGGCTCATACGCAGTGTAATGGCACATCTGCCAATAGTTTCGTTGATCCTAAGAGTGTGAGTTAAAAATAATGCAATACAGATAGTAAGTAAGGTTGATAATGACACGTCTAACATCTAATGTAATAAGTGTCATTTATTTATGTCATTATTCTAAAACAATTTAGTATTTTTTTGAAACAAATTATTCTTAAATTATGAGACTAATATAAAAATATTTAGGAAATTAATTTTTACTTCAAAAGCTGCAGAATCAGAAAACTCGCAGGTCAAAAACCACGATGCCCAGAAAAGAGAAATGTAGTCAGCCATTCTGTTGATCTCTTTGACAATTTTATCACTCAGAAAAAGAACCTGTCTGATCTTAGGGAGAAGCAAATTGAACTTCATATAGTACAATGCCTTTGCCATGAACCTGGCGTGTGAAATAGCTCCGGTTTGTGAATTTTATACCTAACTGTCTGATCTTCTTCAAGGAACATAACTACAAGCTCTGCCAGTTCACAATAATCTTTGCGCTTCTCAAAAGTCTAAATGTATATAATTTACAACTTAATTAAAAACTTTAATGTTTCTTCTTTCTATTTTTATAGTTGGTATATATATTTGGTATAAAGTTGTTTTAAAGTAATATATTTCTTTATTTTAACCTTACCTGACTATTTCTTAACTTGTTTTTATCTATCAGGTCCTTGCAAGTGTTTAGCGCCAATAGAGCCTGCTTCACTAACCAGGTACCCTTAACATTCTGGTGATTAAATTTCAACAGCATCTTCTCGTTGTTTGCATCAATACCATGCCAGTTCTGCTTTAGAGATTTAAATAGTTGATTTTCTGGTCCAACAGATTTGTTTACTGCAACTTCATTGCAAAAGTGTTTTATATGGAGCTCTCCTACATGATGGCGGTAGGCTAACAAGAGCAATGGTCGGCCATGAAAATTAGCTAATCTTGCACAAGCTCCTTTTAAATAGCCAGTGTTTGAAGCAGTGGTATCAAAACAAACTCCGTGAATGAACTGCCCTAGATCAAAAGAATCTAATAGATTTTGAATTGCTGTGAACTGAGCCTCACCACTGCCGTGTTCCGACCCTGGAGCGCCCAACAGATGGGTCTGATTGTTATGCCTTATAAGCACACAAATTCGGTCTTTTGTCTCATCTATGCTACCCGTATAATCTTTGATAATTTTGCCATCAAAATGCACAATGATGGGTTTGCCGCTCGTCTTAACCATACTGGTTATGTTTGCTCTAAGAACACCAGCATCATTTCTTATTATTGTATCAAAAATCCTGTAAGTTGAGCTGTGGGATAATGTTACATTTTCTATATCTCCACCGGCATTGCAAAGAAAAGAAGAGATAAGTGCTGTTGTCTGGTTAGTAGATATTCCCATCCCAATAGCAGTTCTGGCAGTTTTTGAAAAAATGTCTTTTGGTATCTTTAGAGTCATACTTTTAACTGTCTTCTTTGTTGATGCGTTACCAATCTTAAAATCATCTTGGGAACATGTATCATTAGAGTCATCAGTAATCATTTCACTTTCAGAGGAAAATCCGGAGAAATCATGGAAAGTTTTTTTTACTATACCAGAGGTTTTAGAGTTATTTCTTGATGCAGATCTATTACTAACATCTACAAATCGACCGTCCAACGCTCCAATCACCATCTTTCTGCAACTTAGCTGGTCTCGTATGAAGGTTAAATTTTCAATCTTATCTGCTTCCAGTCTTAGCCTATCAGTCTTTAAACTACGTTTAAGAAGCGTAATGTCTTCTCCAGCCCAAAATAATCCTTTAAATTTAATTTTATTATTTAAGAACAAGAAAAAGCAAACTATTTACTTCACAATAAATTAGCTTAGTACTGGCTGTTTGACTAGAAAATCTTAACATTTAATATTTATCCCCTACCTGTCATTGATTTCTCAAATTTATTTCTTGTCGCAAGATAACCAATTCCAATTTTTTTCTAGGATTTCTTCAATGCTATGTACTTTTCTACATACTTCTTGACATGAAACATCATCCTTTTGTCACTGATGACTTTGAAGCCAGTTTTTCTCCAAGGAATTAAGATTCCGGAAAGGATACAACTGACATTGCAAAATTCATTGTTTGTTATGCATTTTAATCTATGAAGAACTTCCGTAAATTAAAAACATAACTTATTAAATTATCTTTACTATATTTGACATAAAACATGAAATAACGTTCTTATCTATTGATTTTTAAAGCTAAAAGCTTACTGGAAAGTTTTGGACATTAAAGGACAAGCGACGAAATCCTTCAGTGCTTTCTTTGGAAATTGTTCTCTTAAAAATAAGTAGCGTTGGATAACGTGAATCCATAGGGGCAGCTGGTTTGTTTCCATTCTATCCAGAGTGACGTTAACTAGGAACATGTTCTTGCTACTCGATCTTCTTTTTTTAAACCCCTTCTTGGGACAGGGATACACCTCAGATACTTTTGTTGTCATAGCTAGCTTTAAAACAAAATTTCATAATGTTACTCATTGATCATAATGTTAATCACTATAAACATTTCCGTAATAACATAATTTGTATGAAGTTTAAAATTTTTTAAAAGTTCATTTAAAATATTATAAATGTTTAAATAACCTAATTCATTTAACTATAATTATAAAATATAACATGCATTATTATGTTATGTTGTTACTTGAGGTTGAAATAATAGATTTTTTAAAATTAAAAATTGTTAAGTAGCGCGATAAAAAAATTGTTTTCTAAACTGCGCTTTTTTTAAATATTACCCAATTTTTGCGTTTCTAAAGTACCACCTGGTAACAAATATGATAATAATGAAAATGCGCACAATCGGTATGGATAAAAAACCTTCCATTCTTTGTATTCAGGGCCGGTGCAAAGGGGTTATGACACCCTAGGCAAAACTTCAAAGGTCGCACCCCTTTTACGTAAAAAAATCAAAATAAAATGCAAAATAAAGTGAAAACACCAGGTAAGTATTTATTTATTTAAAAATATCAAAACTGTTCTTTGCGTGCCTTTTTCTGGGCAAAATCGATCTCAAGGTCCTTCAGGTCCAGCTTGTCTGCAAGTTCGTGCTCAATGGAAAGAGTTGCTAACCCAACCAATCTGTCTGAGCACATGGATGATCGAATGTATGTCTTTATCAATTTTAGTTTGGAAAAACTACGCTCTCCACAAGCGACAGAAACAGGTAATGTCAGCAAAATACGAAGAGCAATACAAAGGTTGGGTAGACTGTCTTCCAAGTTTTGGCAAAGAATAAATCGAAAAACATCTTGAGGAGACTTTGTTTCTTCAGAAAGTCGTCGTGCAATAGACTGTAGTTCGCCACACAAATCTGATGCAACTAAATCTCTGTTATCGCCATGTTGTAAAGGAGATTCTAGTTTCATGCAACATTCCAATATTTCTTGTGAAGTTTTACTCTGTAGACCATGAATATGATATAAGAAACCAAATACAGATTCAATTGTTCTCATTTGTTCAAACCTTTCTTCAACCGACCTTATTGCTGTGTCAAGTATAGCAAAGAAAAAAGTCACTTTGAAATTTTGTTTTGGATCTTGCACAGGCTCATCTTCAGCTTCATATGCAAATTGCTTTTTTCTCCGCCGTAATCGTGGTTCTGCCTCAAAGGTTGGTGGTATCTCCAAATCCTAAGCAATTTCAGCAGCATCCACTAGCATTCTTGCAAAACCTATGTCACTCCTACAGTCAACCAAATAGGCTTGTGTGTGTTGTAACTGTTGTACAGCAGCATGAATATCCAAATCTTTAGCTTGGAGCTGCTTACTTGTTATATTGATTTCAAAAAGTATGTTGTACCATACAACAATTGAAACCACGAACTTAAACTTTGCAACACTATTCGCAAATGCTTTAGCATCACTGCGTGCAGTGCTTCCTGAGGATCCAGTTAGAGAAGTATCATCAGCTATTTCTAGCAGGGCATAATATATTTTACCAAGTTCATATCGCAAAGGCTTTATAGCATCTATTCTGCTTTCCCATCTTGTTTCACTTAGAGGTTTAACAGTTAACGTAGGTTGATGACTAGTGAAAACTACCCACCGATGTGTTGAAGACGAAAAATATACATACACACGTTGGACAATATCAAAAAAACTTGTAGCCATTAGACAACAATTTGCAGCATCATTGACAACCAAATTAAGAGTATGTGCGCTGCAAGGAACAAACAATGCTCGAGGATTAATGTTTAATATTTTTCTTTTGAACACCATTATTTTTGCCTATCATATTTGCGCCATTATCGTAGCCTTGGCCACGTAAATTATCAATAGGTAACTCCATTTCTTCTAGTTGTTGTATTATCGTTTCTGCCATATAGGCTCCAGTTGTTTTCTTTAAAGGAACAAAGCCTAAAAAATGTTCTTTGATACTAAACTCCTTTTTCAATGAATCAACTTTAACAAAACGAATAATTATTGTCATTTGCTCAACATGGCTACAGTCAGGAGTACCATCGAGAACTATTGAAAAATATTTCATTGCATGGCTAAGTATTGCTAAAATTTTAAAAAACTCCCGTTATTGGCACTGTACAATGTTTCATTTGTACCGCGAAAAGCTAGATTCTGTTCACCCAAAACTCTCACTAATGCTATTAAACGCTTTAGTATTTGCTGCCAATACTTTTCTTCATTCTTCATCTTGCGCAAAATTTCTGCATCTATTGTACTATCCCTCTGTAATCGCTGATGTAGTTCTTTCCACTTTTGATAGTTCTGCAAATGTTCAGGACTTTTCTCGTGGGAAGAAAGAATTGCCGCCATGTTTTTCCAGTCACTTGAACCTGTATGAGTTAGTGATGATATGCCAATTGCTTTCATACTGAACAGTTTGCAACAGAAACAAAACACTGAGTCTTTTAATACTGAATACAAGAGCCAGCTGCGACATAATTCTTCTCCATTAAGAAGTTTTCTTAAGTAGTGAAATACTGAAAACTTTCGATTGTTCTTATCATTTGGGAAACTGATATCTTTTATTTGCTGAGGTCCACGTTCTACAAAGATTGCACGTGTATTATGATTAATTAGTAGAGGCCAAAGTGCTGGATCCTGTGGAATAACATTATCCGTTTTTTCTTCACTTGCTTGCTGTACATGTTCCTCGAGAGAATTATTCAATTGGCCATTATCTGCATGGGAAACGGGAACTGTTGAGTAAGAAAGTGTTTCACTCATCATCACATTATCATTATCAACAACATTAGATATTTCTTCAGCTTCCATATCAGTGGGAATGTGTCCACCATTACTATCCTCTTTAGTAGAGTCTTGTCGGCATATAAACTTTAGCAATGAACCCTTCTGTTTTTCTTGTTCCCTCTGCTGTTCAACTTTTCGTTTACGATATTGAGCTCCTGAAGGCTTCTTTCTCTCAGCCATATCTGAAATGTAACAAGAAAATAATAAAATAAATGAATGTTGCGATGTTTAACTAATACATTAATAGGTCTTCTGTGATTGGCTTCAAGAATAAATTATATATAGCTAGCTATAGTTTCCAACAGGTCTGAACAGCTCTGTAAGGTTTTAACAGGTTATCATTAACTGTATTATACAAAAAACAACTTGGCAAAGTTATACGTCCTGCTAGTATTTTTTGTGTTTTTTTAAACGGAAATGGAAGTTAGCTATATGAATGAGATTTCAATATGTAATTAGCTGGTGCAGATCAAGACATATTGTAGAAGCGACTCAACAAAAAATTTAACCTGCTAGATGCATTGTGTTTAAATAATTCAAATTTTATTTTGTATAGCAAAGTTATACGTATGGTGAAGTATAATAATAATATAATACGTAATATATAATAGCCCTAGATTTAAGCTAGTTATTATATATTCATATAAAAAATATTTTACTTTTCTTAATAAGTGTCTAAAACGTAATATAAATGTATAATAGTATATAGAATGTCACTATTCATCTATATGTATATATATATATATATATATATATATATATATATATATATATATATATATATATATATATATATATATATATTGTCAGTATAAATTATATAAAGAATATAGTCGACTAACTATTAAAAGTTGTTATGAAAATCACTTTGATTGTAAAGACGCCGCCATATTTGTTATGATTTAGATTGCGTTCGGTAAAATGTACATACATATTGCTCAATGAGCAAAAGCGTTGTTTTTTGTTAGCATATAAAAAAACTTATCAATTTTTAGGCGCCCCTAAACTTTGGCGCCCTAGGCGATTGCCTAGTTCGCCTATAGGGTGCACCGGCCCTGTTTGTATTGACGCAGTTAAATTGTTAAAGGTTTATAAATTTCTATTCGCGCTGATCATTTGAAACTGCCCATAAAAACTCAAAAAATGTAAAAAAGTTAAACTTTAAACGAATGGCGCGAGAATAAATACTCCATCCAGAAAAAAAAAAATTCATTAACAAACCAATATCTTAGGAACATTTTGAGACACTACGTGAAATAAAATTCGTTCATGAAGGTCAAAATGGGATGGCCTTATATATATATATATATATATATATATATATATATATATATATATATATATATATATATATATATATATATATATATATATATATATATATATATATATATATATATATATATATATATATATATATATGCTTTTGTTACCTGAAATATGCAAATACTTTTATGTGTATTATTGTACAGACACACAAACACATACACACATATATTATATATTTCTATATATATATATATATATATATATATATATATATATATATATATATATATATATATATATATATATATATATATATATATATATATATATATATATATATATATATATATATATAGTCAGAAAAATAGTAATTAACAAAATAAATAATGAAATTGCATTTTGATATATAAGGAAATAGTCATAACAGTAAAAACAAATTTTTTTATAGAAAAAAAGCTGAAGCAATGACCAGAAAACTATCATACATATAGAACATATTTATCTGAAGTTTAACAAAAAATTATTGAAAACCTACAGTCAGATTTTTAGAAAATTGATTTCAAATAAATAAACAAATCTATGGTTTACACTAAAAAGGTATTAAATAAAAATAAAGTTTAGGCGCGCAAAGATTTTTGCTACATCTATTTATTTATATTTTTGTGAAATTTTTGTATTATTAGCTACATCATTGGCTACATCATAAAGCTACATCATTGGCTTTTCAGAAATTAATTAACAAATAATCTGTTGCCATGTAAAATATTCTCTTTAGTTAAGAACCGAAGCCATTTTAAATGTTCAAAAGTTTTTTGTATTTTCTTACCCATGCGTACCTAAACATAGCGCTTTTTACTAATATCTAAACGACCGTGATGGAAGTGAATCAGTTCATTTTCGAAATCAATTTCTAAATCATTAGAATAGTTTTGTTGGAGATGTCTCGTTCAATTTTTTTTATTCAGTAAATTTTTATTGTTTAAATCAAACAAAACTGAAAAATTTAGTTGAACATTTTGATAATATGATGAACGTTTTTCCATTTCAACAATTAAACTGTCAACAATTACTAAATACACCTGAGTGTTAAATTTTTGCTGTGGAGTTAGTGAACATTCTGTATTTCTTTTCCCCGCAAGTAGCCTTTGCTTAATAAGTCGTTGTTGTTCTTTTTTGTAATTGGTTTCAAAATCATCAAGATTTAATTTGCTTTAGTTTTTCTAACAGTTAGCGAGCTTCACCTTCCTAATATGTAAAATTTTCTCGAGTTGTTTTCAAGTATTCTGTCAAGCTTTTCATATGATCAACAACTACTTTCAATGTGAGTCTTTCTTTTTAAAATATTACATTCACCTTATTTATTCTTTACAATATATCATTCCAAAATAAGCACAGAATGCATGGTTCATGTTCCAGTAATTTGCACGCAATATTAGTGTTGTTTTAAGGCTTTTATAGCATCATGCCTAGCTGACCAGCGTGTTTCGGAAAGCGATTTAAGAACTAACAGACGGGAGCTAACAAGTTTATGATCATTTTTGGAATTAGTTATTTCTTAGTTCATTAGACCAAGTTATTTCTTAGTTCATTAGACCAAGTTATTTCTTAGTTCATTAGACCAAGTTATTTCTTAGTTCATTAGACCAAGTTATTTCTTAGTTCATTAGACCAAGTTATTTCTTAGTTCATTAGACCAAGTTATTTCTTAGTTAATTAGACCAAGTTATTTCTTAGTTCATTAGACCAAGTTATTTCTTAGTTCATTAGACCAAGTTATTTCTTAGTTCATTAGACCAAGTTATTTCTTAGTTCATTAGACCAAGTTATTTCTTAGTTCATTTCCACCAATAGGTAGAATTACAAAAATAGCTGTACAATTTTTGTATTATTCCAAAAAACCACATGGTTTTGGAATATATGCTTGCTGCTGTGTGTCCTATAAGATTTAAGGAATGTGCACTGCACGGAACATAATCGGCAAGACTGATAATTTGTTTAATTTTCATTTGAAGTCCGTTATACTTGCTGGACATGTTAGCAGCGTTATCATAACTTTGAGAAAGACAGTCATTTATGTCAAGTTTGGATTCAGATAAATAATCTAACACAGTTTCAGCTTTTAATCTCACACAGTTTCAGACTTTTAATTGGTATAAATTTTAGAAAACGTTCAAATATTTCAAAGGTGGCTGGATTAACATGGCGTATTATAAAGGTAAGTTGATCTACATGCTGTTCGTCGGGAGTAGAATCTACTATTATAACGAAATATTTCAATTTTTTGACCTCTTTTTTGGTAATATATTTGCCAACCAATTAAATAAACTCATCATAAATTGTTGATGACAAATACGATACATTTCCGCGACCATAATTTGCAAATTTTTCTATATGACTTGCAAAAAAAGCAACATACTTTGTTAACAACTCCAACGTACCTAAATAATTGCCATTATTAACAGAATCGAAAATTTTATTTTGTCCTCTCAGAGCTAGACCTCGTTTGTACAAAAATAACATCTACTATTCTTTGCAAAATTTTTTTTAAAAAGTTACATTGAGATTCATATAATGACAAAAATTTAAACCTTTAATAAAACAATTTGCAAACGCCACAATACAACATTTCTTTT